TATATATATATTTGTCTCTTCTTCATTCTTTTTTTTTTTTTTGTTAAAAAACTAGTTTGTTCTGCACATTGGCAAGTTGAGGAGAGGAGAAATTCCCCTCCCAGACATACACTATGTATGGTAGGAGTGAAACTTAATCCCATGCAGTTTCTGCACAAATCTTCTCAAGATCTAAGATTCTCTTTGTTGTTTCTCAACAACACTTCGAGAGGGGATGGAGAAACCATTTGTAAAACTCTTAAAAAACAGGAGTTCGTGGCTGTTTTGCTTGGTAACATGCAGCTACCAAGGAGACAGGAAAGTGATGCCTTTTAGCTTGACCTGCCCACAATGTGTGAGCAAGGCCTGACCCTTTTGGTGGGATTTTTGCCCCCCTACACATGGCAATCTCAACCTTATCAAGCAAATTTCCAGTTTAATTTAGCTAGAAATGCAAAAAAATTAAGTCATTATACAGTATATATAATTCTGCTCTCATGGAATACTTTATTTTAAATAAAAACATTGAAGACTGCCTACTGACCATACAATCAAGACAAGAAAGGCACTAGAAACATAGACAAATCTCTCTCTCTCTCCCCAGAAGCTTTAAATTTTAACTCTCTATTCTCTGACATGTAAAAATCTTTTTAAATTTGTTTTTTTTTCTTTTTTTCATACACATTTTGAAAAATAAAGTTAGGAAATACTTAGAAAATCACTTTACATCTTTTTTATATATATTTTTTTATCACCTTTTGACACAGTCACTGCAGAGTCTACAAAATCAAACCTTTCTGTGTCTGTCATCTTATTCAGAGCACGGTGCAACAGGTAGAAAGATTTCATGATTTCACCCAAGGCAGGTATTTTAGAAACCTTCATTTGCTAGAAAATGGCTTAGAGCCCAATCTTTGGGGCAAGAGATATGAAAAGTATGTTTTCCCAAGAAAATAATCTGCTTTATTCCCAGACGTGACTGGAAAGACCAGAACTGATATGATTATAAAAGCTTTCAGTTAATGTTTGGAGCATCATATACAAAGGAACATGGCGATGGGGAGGGAGAAATGCAAATCCCAACTCTCTCAACAAGAAATGTCTAACAGTGCATGACGAGCAGTTCAATTCTCTTTATTGTTGTCCAACGCAGATCCTTTGGAGAGGAAAAAAAGATCACAGTGCTTACCAGGTAACTCAACAGGTCAAGGAGCTGTTAAAAGAAAGGGTTAGGGAGCTGTTGATTCTTTTTATGGCATCTTCTCAGGTGGAGTTCTTAGCACTTGGGACAAGTCCTTCCCCGCTGGGGTGTCCATGGGCACTGCTATGTGTCGCTGCCCAGGCGGCTGTACTTGACCTGCCTGCCCCGCGGCAGCGCCGGCCAGGGCAAGGGCCAGTGGTAGGAGCGAGGTACAATCCCCTGCACATTCTTCTCGAAGTACTGGAAGGGCTTGTACCACCACACCCTGGCAAGGAGGTTAGTTTGGGAAGCTTCTTTTAGCACCTGCACAAAGAGAAGCAGAGAAAAAGCGAATTACAACAGAGCAGGTCACTCACTCGCACGACTTCATTGCTACCTCAGCACGGCATTGCTGCACTACAGCAGCTACATCAGTGCTGCCTCCAGAGCTCTCTCCAGAGCTAGAAGCACCTCCCAAACAGATCTGCATGGACAAAGAGAAGCCAAGCTCCTTCTCCACAGCCTCTCTGCACACACTAAATGTTGCTCCCAAGGGAGGATCACCCTTGTTTACAACACCCAACCTGGAGTGCTGCACACAGTTCTGGTGTCCTCAACGTCAGAAGGGCATGGAACTCTTAGAGCAAGTCCAGAGGAGGCCACAAAGCTGCTAAGAGGGTTGGAGCATCTCCACTACAAGGACAGGCTGAGAGAGTTGGGGCTGTTCAGCCTGGAGAAGAGAAGGGTTGCCCAGGGAGGCTGTGGCTGCCCCAACCCTGGCAGTGTTCAAAGCCAGGCTGGATCAAGCCAACTCCCTCCCACCTGTTCTGGTGGGAGGGGGTTGGCACTGAATGATCTGCAAGGTTCATTCCAACCCCTTAACAGTCTGTGACTTCAGTTCTTCGACAGGCCCACAGGAAAAGAATGAATGCCCCAAAGATCATTCTCTCCTCTCCTTTGGGAATGAAAAAAACCCAACCCAAAGCCCACTTGTTACCATAAGTATCTCTGAAATTCCATATTGATCAAGACTTGCTTCAGAGCCTGGTGTGTGCCTACAGAGTGATGAGCACGGCACACCTCAACCTGTCTGGAGGAGGTCAGGAACCCTGCCCTGCCCTGCCCTCCACGTGCTCCAGACTGCTCCCACCCACCAGTTTGCTCCTCTCGGCCATGAGGAAGCCCCAGCTCAGACACAAGGAGTGGGCAGGCACCAAGGGAGTTACCCAACACCCTATTTTCAACACCAGAGCCAAGTAGCACTGTATCAGCCCACCAGAAGTGCAAGCACAGGGCTTGTACTCTGAGCTTTAGCTTCATGTCATGTGTCAAATAAATCCACTTTTGCTTTTAATTTCAAGGTCAGACATAAGTCACATGGAGCAGCAGCACGAAGGAGAAATCAGCACATAAATGTGTGCTTAGGTAAGGATCCAGGGACAAGCATTTCCCAACATCTCAACAGCTTAGGGAAACAATGTTGAGCCACCTTCAGAGTCATGTCAAGCAGCAAACCAGGACATTTCCATACAGTAAGGCAAAGGGCTTTGCTGAAGCAAGTCCTCAGTGCAATACTGACTCCAGTAGTTCCAGCTGGGAAGCACAGCCACTCAGCACCAGTGTCCTGGCAGAGCCCAGGGGCAGATTCAAAGCCTGGAAGTCCTTCTGGTGCTGTCTGACAAGAGTTACAGGGTCTGGGCACAGATTGCTATCAAACACAGCAGCTCCCAAGCTGAACATCAAAGTGCATCTCATCTGCAATGAGGCACTTGGTGGTAAAAACATACCACAGGGCTTGACTGTGGTGTGCTCCTTCAAGTAGCATCAAGCCCAGTGGAATAATGAGATGGTAGCTAGAAGGCCTTTAGCAGGGTTGGAACTAGATGATCTTTAAGGTTCCTTCCAACCCAAACCATTCTGTGATTCTATGATATGATCTAAAAGTCTGCACTGTCACAATATGAACTCATTTCCTATCAGCACAGTAGGTCTTGCTTAAACATAATTAACTGCAGGCAAATGCAACAGATAAGCAAAAGCTCTTTCACCATGAGCATAGAAAATATTTGGGCACCAGTATTCTGTTAGGGACCTAACAGCTTCCCTTAACTCACTACATTTATCACCAGTGGGACAGACTCATAGAAATATAGAATACCTGAGCTGGAAGGAAGTGATGATCCCTTGAGGATCATAAAGTCCAACTCTAGACCCTGCACAGGACACCCCAACAATCCACCCTGTGGCTGAGAGCACTGTCCAAACACTCCTTGAGCTCTGTCAGGCTTGGGGCTGTGACCACTGCCCTGGGGAGCTGTTCCAGTGCCCAAACACCCTCTGGGACCTAATATCCAGCCTAAACCTCCCCTGGCACAGCAGAGGAGGTTTCACATTCCTCAGCACTGTAAGCTCCTCTCTTACTGCTCTAGTTCACTGGCAGGGAAGCCAGTGTGTGGTAGTGACACCAGCTTCAACCTTTGAAACAACCTTCAAAGCCTCAACCTCTGAATGTAGAGCAGATTCAACCTTTGAATCTTTTACAGCACCTCCCTGATTAAGTATTATCATCATCAAGTGCTGTGTCTCCTCCTAAGCAGCTCCTAATCCTCACTATTTCCCTCATCACCCTATTTTTCCAGACATGGGCCTTAGGACAGGATCTGTGCTCTGCTGCACTGTTCTCCAAAACGAAAACATTCCCCTTGGCCAGGAGAACTTATCACCACTTGGAAACACCCTGAAAAACTGGTTTTAGTGAGGCATTATGCTATTCTACAAGAGACCTATCACCTAATTGAAGGACATAAGCCACAGAATACAAGGAAAACCCAGCTGGCTTCAACAAACAAACAAAAAACCAAGGCAAACCACCCATCATGTCTGAATGGTTTGCTCTGTTATCACAAAAGTGGCCCAAATTCAGAAGGACTTCAACAATTGAGCCACACAGGGGAAGTTGAGGCCTGTCTGCCTTCAGGTGACCTTCACATATTTCTGTGGTGGAGACACATGAAGAACCTAAACAATGATGGCTCTTTCTTTCCTGCAAACCCAATGGGTTTGTCCCAGAACATGCCTGAGTCCACTCCTACTGGATATCCATCCACCACTGCAAGGAGAGCCCCAGGGATCCAAAGAGCAGGAGAAACTCACTTGCTGGTTGGCCATTGTGTGATACCACCAGAATAGCCTTGTAGTGATGTAGTAAGCCACCACCACGTCCACAGTGTAGTGGTCATGAGCAAGGAGGATGCAGAACATCCCAACCATGCTGAGTGCCCAGCAAAGCCAGTGATACCACCAGAGTCGCCGTGGGGAATCTGCAAAGAGCACAAACAGAGGTTATTTCAGAGTGCAATGTTATCAGGACTGCTGCAGAGGTCATGGGAGCAATCCTGGGTGGGTAGTGCCATGCCTGCACTAGCATTAAGAGCAGGAATTGCTGAGGTCACAAGGTAAGTATCATTCTCTTAAGGTGTAACTTAAGATTGTGCTCAGGGGTAATGAGATCCTCAGAAAATAGAAAAGCTAGGGAATCTTTGAGATGGAGATAATATACTCTGATCAGTCAAATAAACCAATTTGTGAATTTAGATGGGATATTGGGAAGATATGCCCTGTGAGGGTGGTGAGGCACTGGCACAGGTTGCCCAGAGCAGCTGCGGCTGCCCCATCCCTGGAAGTGTTCCAGGCCAGATTGGAAGGGAGTTGGAGCAACCTGGGCTAGTGGAAGGTGTCTCGGCCCAGGGCAGAGGGTTGGAACTAGACTTTAAGGTCCTTTCCAACCCAAAGCATTACAAACATTTCAGCGAAGAAATTTCCCGTAATATCCAACCTAACCCTCCCCTAAGGCAACTTGAGGCCATTTCCTTTCATCCTGGGCAATGCACTTATTTTAACTTGAATTGTATTTGCTGATTCCTCAGTTAGGAGTGAACTGTACCCCAGGGAACCATCTGTGAAGAGAAGGGACTCACACTCTTTGATGAACAGGTATGTGAGCGTCAGTATGACGGTGTGGCCGCTGTACAGATAGTCACCGCACATGTTGTGGGATCCCGTGATGGACAATCCTCCTCCAGCAATCAACTTCATTATTCGTCTCAGATGAGATTCCCAGTCTCCAAAAAGCTGGTGGAAGAAGAAAACATGAAAGCAGAGTAAAATATCAGCTCTAACCTTTCAGATTTTAAAGCAATAGTTTGAGCCAGAAACTTTGCATTTCAGTTTTGTTCTTCTTGTTTTGATCCACAAGATCAATCAGCAAATAAATCTACAGTCTTTTCCAAATCTAGCAGGACATTTCTAGAGGGAAAAGGACTGGGCATGAGACAGTTTTTTATGGACATTTTGCACCTATTGTAGCTGGTGTTCATGTGAGGTCCAAGAGGCAACACAGTCTACAATAAATCAAGCTGAATTTAACTCCTCTTGCCGCTAACAGTGATGGTACCAACCCTATGGGTGATGATCCAACAGAAAGCAGGATCAACTGCCCAAGCTCTATGTCCAGCTGCCCAAAACAAGATTTGATGAACAGAAGGGTATCTCCCTCCAAACCCTAAGACCTCTCCACTTCTTTCCACTTCACATTCCATGAGGAACATCTATGGTGTCTGTCAGAGCACAGTGACAAACTTCTGTGCTGGCTTTGAGTCACACAATCCATGTGAGCCCAAACAGGGATCTTCCTCCACACCTGATGGGTTTGCTCTGACCCACCTCCAGCCCACAGGGCATTTCTCTGGTATCTCCAACATAAGAGGACATGGAACTGTTGGAGCAAGTCCAGAGGAGGCCACAAAGCTGGTAATAGGACTGGAGCACCTTCCCCACAGGACAGGCTGAGAGAGTTGGGGCTGTTCAGCCTGGAGAAGAGAAGGTTGTGTGGAGACCTCAGAGCAACCTGCCAGGATCTGAAGGGGCTCCAGGGAAGCTGCAGAGGGACTCTTGGTTAGAAACTGCAGTCACAGGACAAGGAGGAATGAGGAGAAATCGCAAGAGGGAAATTTAGATTAGATATTAGGAATAAGTTTTCCCTGTGAGGGTGGTGAGACACTGGCACAGGTTGCCCAGGGAGGCTGTGGCTGCCCCAACCCTGGCAGTGTTCAGAGCCAGGTTGGATGAAGCCTTGAGCAACCTGTTCTGGTGGGAGGTGTCCCTGCCCAGGGCAGGGGTTGGCACTGGATCATCCCTGAGCTCCATTCCAACCCCTTAGCATAGTCTGATTCTGTGATTTCTGAACAAACTCCCATTTGCCTCAGGAAAGTCAAATGGAAGCAAACCAAGTCCTTTCCATGAGGACACTCCTCTTCCCCTCCCCAGGTGACCAAAGGGCAGCCAGCACTGTCCCAAGCTTTTGCTGCTCCCAGCTCTAAAACAAGCCCAAATAAAAATAAATCCACAAAGAATATGTATTCTGTGGGACAACC